CCCCGGCTTATCATGTAGCGGTAGCTTTCGGAAAGGTGGAAAACATATATTTAATACTTGCGCCGGGTATTTAATGTTCGGCTCCGCCCGAACTTAGACTTTCTTACTTGTTTAACAATCCCTTTAAAGCACGCTAGTCTTCCTTTCATCTGAGCGCACCTTGCAATCTGGAACAAATTGTGCCTTCATCCCAGCCGACAATGTAGATGACTAGGTCATCTGCATATCCATATGCCTTGAGTCCATTGCCATTCAGCTTTTCGAGGAGTTCGTCAACAAGCAGCGTACAAAGTAGGGGCGATAAGACTCCCCCTTGAGGACGGCCACGAGTGGCAGTTACTGCTTGCTTACTGTCTCCTAGTTCCGCAATTATAGTTCTGGATTTCAACATGCTTATGATCCAATCAGTTAGAAGGCCAGGAATATCCTTTTTTAACATAGCTGTAGATATTGCTTCATAAGACGTATTTTCGAGAGCACCTGATATGTCCAGGAATAAACACAAAGCTATCTCTTTATACTGCAATGCCTTTTCAATGACTTGAGTTAGGCTATGTATTGCTGTAGTAGTAAATTCGCCTGCCTGATATGCGTGTTGACTCTGACATAGAGGCTTATTACTCAATAAAGTTATCCCTTATGTGAACGTCAATAAGTTTTTCTTATGTCTTTACTAGAAAGGAGCTGCGGCTAATTTGTCTATACGCCTTGTTGAGTGCTAAGTTCGTCCCAATTTTGGGTATAAAGACCACTTTGACTCACTCCATGTTGATGGTATGTGAGCAAGTAAGAGACTTGCTCTCAGCAATGTAACTAGTAAGTGGGTAAATGCCATCTGGACCAGGGGCTTTATATGCACTAAAGATTGAAATGGCCCACGATGTATTTTCCACACTGAAGATTCCTCCTGCAAGGCCTCTTGTCCTCCTGTTTGCGCAAACAGCGTTCACCGTGTTTGCTGAAGGACATGTGCCTTGGGGAATACATCCCGGGAAGTGGGTTTCTAACAGAAGCCTGCAGGTTTCTTCCGGGGTGCCAGTACAGGTGCCTTTTGGTCTTTTCAGAGTGCATAAGACTTTCAGATGATCCAGTTTAAGGGCCTTCTGAATAGAGCTGCAAAACTATCGATGGCACTATCTATAGTATCGACACCACTATCGATAGTATCGACACCACTACCGATGAATGGTAGCCAATATCGCGATACTATCGGAAACAAAAAATTACAAAAATTTACAGTAAGCACTTGCAATTTTTACTAAAACTTAATGGACTGCAAAACCGCATACTCAAAATTTCTTCTAAGAGATCTAATTAAAAAAACTCAACATTTTGATGACTCGAAAAACTCGAATTTTCCTCGTTTTTGTAAATTGTTAACAACGTGTTTTTTTTGCTTACAATACAAATTTTGTTATTTTTAATAAATCACACTAAAATGTTGATTAAAATTAACGTTTCTATTTTTTCTACTAATATTACCATATTCAGTATAAATAGTGCCGTAGTAAGGATCTCATATTTTTCTCTTATCGATAGTATCGATACTATCGAATGGTGAGGTCCAAAACTATCGAATATATCGAATGGTGCAACCACCGATAGTTTTGCAGCTCTACTTCTGAAGGCAATGCACCTCTGGCAGAGAAGAAATACTTCTATAGAGACTTCTTGGTTCTCAGTGGGCAGCTCGCTTCAAAAGCTTGTTTGAGAACATCTTGGAATTTTCTCGCCACGTCTTCCAAGTTCATAGACGGATAAAATTGGTGCAGTAGAACTATTCACTTCCATACTTAGAAAAAGTGTAAGCGCAAAATATTGTATTTCTCTTAATAAAATATGGGCGCGAAAGAGACCTTACGAGATCTTCGTTATCATTTTTAAACAATTTTTTTTTTTATGATTTATACTTTTTACTCATATTTGAAGTGACCCAATATTTGTTTTCCGTAATTTCGATTCCAGTCGACTAAATTTTGCAGACTTTAATAAATATTTCCTACAAGGCATTTACATATTGCACCTTCACAGGCAGATTTAAATATTTGAAATTATATGTATTTGCACAGAAAGGCCGCCATAAATATGTATAATACATATGCTCCAAAGGCCAAATTTAATAGGCTTAAGGAATTGGGCACCGACAGCTTTCGTACCACTTGGCTAAATGAACTTTGAGTTCAAACACAAATCATTTTATTTATTTGAAACAAAATAAAAATTGCAAGAAACGAACTCTTTACTGCCTTGAAGAATGATCACAGCGTTCGCTAGAATGTCAAACATAATGCAAAATTAAAAAATAAAAGTGCGCACGATTGTACATTTCGCTCGAACGCATGATGCCAGGGATGTGTACATATCGTACATTCGTACATAAAATGTATGTAAGTATGTAGTTACATATGTACATACTATTTACGCCAGAATTTTAAAATACAAGTAACACAAAGCGAAAAGTCAACAGACGCGCCCCCATAAATAGCGCGGGACTTTGCAGAGCGTAGCAGTAAATTGTTTACGAAATTTTGATTGCGATTGGTCTGTTATTTGTTATTTGTTTTTTTTTTTGTTGTTGACAAATATGAGTCAAATATTTAAATATATGTACATACACTCTACGACGCTTTTAGTCTTTTTACAATCAAAACCTTGATGCACTCTTATTTAACTATTTGTATGCTTATTTATGTGTGTAATATGCATTCACTTGTTCAAACACTAAAAATATTACTAGACACACCGAGCTACATTTAAGTAAATTTGTTAAGCACGTTCGCACATGTATGACCGCAAAAAAATCGCAATAACAGCGATTTATGGCGTTAATCCCGCGAATTCTATTTCGTTCGACCGGCAACGACGGCTTTACAGACTGCACTGGTGCGTGTTTTGTAGTGGGAGCTATTCAACTGCTTTTGAATGCGCACTGACACTTAACAGGTTTTTTTGGAATAAACATCGTACCATATTTCTGGCCAACCGGCATCAACAATGACTTTGAATTATTTCGTTTCAAATAAAATTCAAGTTAACTCACACCTTAAATTCTGTAGGTTTTCTGTTAATTTCCAACGTGGCTAATATTTTCTTTTTTACTTTAACGCGCCGCCCCCTACGCGACGACACACTTCACATGAACGACAAACCAGAACTGGCGCTACTTACACGATGGGGAACATAGTATGGCGTGCCAATACCAAAATCATCCGATGTCTAAGCTCCAACAACAGAAACGTCAGCACTAACTGCGCCAGCAACATCAGAAACATAGTCGAAAACAGAAAAGTCGGAAAACAAAGAGACTACACAAAAATAAAAACACGTGAGCATAAGTTATAGCAACATGTTGCTGTTGTTAAATTATGACCCCAACGTATGAGAAATGTTGCGCAACTTTGCCCCACATTACAGGTGTGTATGTATGTATGTGCTGTGCTTGGGCAACAGGTAGGAGCAACATACGAAAGCATTAGTTCGTACGTATGTTTGTTAGCACAGTATGTATATATATACAAACATGTATTTTGTACGCATGCAAGCGAAGATAAAAGCAAAACAAAATTATTGATAAGTTTCGGCCGCAACACGTTGTCTTCGTGAAGGCTGCAGTGTTACCATTTATTTATGCCAGATTTAAAAACAAAAATCCGCTAAATCATTTAAAATTCTGTAAATTTTTATGCAAAAAGGAATATCTTTAATAATTTGCCAGTTCTATTTTATTTGGTAAAATAAGAGAACATATATATATGTAGGACAAGATCCGAATAGGGCACGACCAGGACGGGATATTTTTAAATAAATATTCGAAAATAACTTTTTTTTAATTTTGCACTCATTTGATGAATAAACATATCAATCAAAGGCATAAGCCTATAAAATATGTTAAACATATGAGTGAAAATTACTGTTATTACTTACCTATTCATACCTGTCAACCCTATAGGTAGGCCAGGAAAAAAAAAGACAACCCAACGTTTAGTTTTATACATAATCGTGTAGCTTGCACATGCAATACTTGCAGTATTTTAACTGAGGATTTTTAATCCACCATTCGCTGAATTTTTGCTTGTTGATTTTTGGTATTGCAGAAGTATTTTGATTATGCATAAAATCGCTAAAAACTAGCTAAGATCTCCTAAATAAACGCTTAAAATCCCGCTAGTCACCAAATTGTAAATTTTCCCGCTATGTAGAAAACAAAGTCGCTAGATCTAGTGGGAAAATACTAAAATGCAACACTGGACCGACGCTACTTCTGAAACATTTTAGTTTTCACTTTTAGTGTTGTTGCAGCAGTGTTGCTTTTCTGTGGGATATGTTTGTAAATATGTATGTTCATTTGTATGTATGTACATGTGTATCTACACATATTTTTCTTCTCTAGAACGTAAACAAACCCGAACCTACCATAATACTAATTAATAGAGTCGATACGTGGCTTGCATGTCTGCTTACCCAATTTCTTGCGGTCTTTCACTTACAATTAAAATAAACAGACAGGCAGAAACAGCAGTCGTCAAAGACGGTAACGGCGAAGCTGGCGGCTGAACAGCTGGAAGCCGCAAAAGCCAGTTCAACATTGCCCCCGTGGCCAGCAACCTTCCGCGTCCAATCCTGCAAGACGTGCTGCAATCAGCTCAAAAGGATATCCCGAATGTGTCCATAAAGCTCATCGCTAGACCACTTCATACCGGTGGACCCGGGGAACCAAAGGTGAGCGCGCGATCGTCCGAGGAGAAGGCCTTTGTGGGTAGCAATAGGGGCAAGAAGGCAAGTAATGCCGTCTCTACCTAAAAAAAAAAACTCCAAGTCATATCAAATGCCTACAAGTGAATCTTCACCATGCCAAGGCAGCATCAGGTATTCTAAGCCTTCATCCAGGATTCCTGGATTTAGCATGGCGCTGCTAAGGGCCTCAATACTACTGATGGTAAGCCTTTTTAACGCGACCAGCCCTCGCCCAAGAGCGGCGGTACTTCGCAGCCAAAAGTAAACGTTTCTTCCTCTTTTGCAGTTTAAGACGGCGGAACTTGTTGCGTTCAGGGCAAAAATATTGACTCCAAAGGGATGTTCAAGAGGCGGTGATTGCATTCGCGTACTTCCCAGGTGAGGAGGAGACAGCCCCAACATCAGAGGTCAAGGTATTTGTGGAGTACAGTGCGTGTCACAATTTGGTCCTGTGCCGCTAAGGAGTTCGTTCCTGGGTCCAGTACCGTCTATATTGCCTTCTTACCTACGTGCATATTCATTACATCACCGGATCCACAATCATACATGGAATATTTTTTCCCTAGTTTCCCTCTTTTTTTCGTCGGAATGTACGACAACCCGAGCAGCCCAATATCTGAGTTAACGGGTAGGTAGGCGGTCTGCAAGGATGAGTTTCAGAGCCGTGCCACCTGGGCGGTTGGAAAAGACAAAAGACTATGTTCCAAGCCACCCCTTTGCTTCAGGTTTTTCATTTGTGAATGAAACTATCAGGCAATATATATACATATGTATTATTATTATTTTATTTTATTTTTGTTTCGGTCAGAAAAAACTAGTTTCCGATCTATTTCCGAAACCGCGCTGCTTGGGCGGATGGAAAGGACTAGTTTTGATGCCGAGACCCTCCAGCGTTCTCTTCCGAAAATCTCTAGAAATAACAATTTATTTACCTTTATATTCTATATATGTTCGCCGCTGCTTCTTAAAGCTATTTATTAAAATAATATGATTACACACTTGTAAAAAAAAATAGAGCTCATAAATCCATCAAAATACTCTCTCACTCTGAGGACATATATTTTTTAAGAGCTCTTCGAGCCCCAGCGTTATTTACATTATCTTCACCATAAACTCATCAAATATTCGGCTCGCGCATGACATTGTACGTGGAGTATTTGTAAAATAGTATATTTGTGTTGATGCCATCATTTTTATTTTTATCGCTCCGAGTTTTAAAATGAGGCGAAAAATATTTATCACTCACATTTTTAAAACACAAAACTTAAAACAACAAAACGACTAACGAAACTAACAATAGAGAAAAGAACGAGTATAGAAAAATCGATGACAAATAACCAAGCAAGCAAGAAGCACAAAAAGTGTTTCATCGTCTCATCCTCTTCAAGGCAGGATGGACAAATGGACTTGGCATTTACGCCTATCACAGTCAAGTGTTTTTGCCGCGTGAAGTGACCAGTCAGCAGTCCAACAAGTTGTCTACAGTGTTGTCTGCTCAGTAAGAGCAAAGAACTAGATAGACCTACTGAGATTGTAGGCAACATGAGTTTTGCCCACCTGCATCCACTCGATGGCTCCCAGACATTGCTGAGCGAAGTATCCATCCAGTTTCTGATGGTTGCTTCGATGGCCGACAGTGGGTTTGCTAAAACTGGTTGCGGACCGAGCAATGCCTGGCCTCAGCCAATTCTGGCCAAATGGTCAGATGTCTCATTACCAGATACTCCCGATACCACCATAATTTAGTCGAGACTTGCATTGCCAAATTAGTTTGGAAGTAGTTAGAGGGCTGGCCAATGCCTTAAGTGCAGCTTGGTTGTCACTGGAAACACGCAAACTCCTTCCCTTCGACCTATGTTTCACTACGCAGTCCACGGCTTTTAGTATTGCAATTACCCCAGCCTGGAAGGCCGATGAATATTCCCCAACAGAAAAGTGGAGCTTATCCCCATTAACTTCGAAAAAGACCCCAGATCATGACCTAGAGTCAGTTTTAGAGCCATCAGTGAAGATTCGACAATGCGTGAGTTCGGGCTCAGTGCTGGCATTAAACCAACATTCAGCCATAGGAAATTCAACATTATAGAATCTCTTCAACAAAGGTAATGGTGGCGTACTATTCTGTAGCATTGATAACACACAAGTGCTTAAATCTTCGCCGGTTCTATTTAGTCTGCAGGTGACGGTAAGTGCAGCAGTGCATCAAGAGCCGACTATACGCCGCTCAAAAAAAATTTAAGTTAAATAAAGAGGCGAGAGCAACCATTTTGGTTCTTTACTATCGGAACCAGATAAATTTTCGTGGACCCGTGGGGGCCCACCTGGACCACTTTGGGAATCACTGCCCTATAGTTTGACACCTCACTTTTGAAAATCGAACGAACGTACCCAGATCTGATGACGCTACCAGCGTATTATATGAGCAGTTTTCTGCATAATAATGAACAGTCATTTTAATCTTAATCGCAATTTCAATCTTAATCTTAATCGTAACCAACCACCCCCGCAGATATAATAATCAACCTTCACTGCAGCTGGAACATTGAACAACATTTTTTCGGCATGATTTCGCATGGCATGGCCCCGATGCAATTAAAATTAGAAGGATATATGCCTCTTTGGACCAGTATCCTCGAAATAGACCCATAAGCAATATATATATATTATCAAATTTCCTCGATGCCCAAGAAAGTACACAGTGCAAACTCCTTAGCCTCGAAATCGATTTCGATCTTACTACCAGATACTGTGCGGCCAAATCCGTTGGTTTCTCTTTGATATAAGATTATTGATTTTAATGTACTGGAATGAAGGATATTAGTCTAATAGCGATTTAGCTAAATCAAGGGTTTCTAAAAACGGCCAATTCGGATGTACCTACATACGCATGTATAAGTACATACTATGTACATGTGTATGTACAAAGAAACAAAAATGAGATTTGGTAACCCTGAACTCCAGGCATCGAGATTTATGCATAAAAGTCGTTATTAAAATAATAATAGCTAGAGAAAATACCGCCTCTCAAAGCAACGCCTTCAAAGAAAAACCGGGTTTTCGCTCTCCTGTAAAATTTGAGTGCCGTAAGATAGGCGGCTGCAATTGGGCGATGGGCGGTTTTGCAAAAACATCGACGATATGTATATTTCGTGAAATTGAAATGGTTTTATATTTTTATTGATGGTTGGCTTATAGGTGCGGAGATGGTTGATGATGCGATACACATCTCCACTGACGATTCGAAATTCAGCTCTGTCAGCCCTTTCGGTACCGTAAGCTTACAATTAAAAAAATATAAAAGACGAAAGAAAGTAGTAGTGGGATTTTTCTAAAAATTATTTTTTTCAAAAGTTTTTTTTCTGTCACTACCTTCTTTTCTAACAGTAATTTTTTCTAATTTGTGTTAACTTTCTTTAGTTTCCG